TGTATATATGTATATGTATATATATATGTATATATATATGTTTTTATATATATATATATATATATATATATATATGTCTGTGTTGGTTGGTCAGTGGGTTGGTCAGTGGGTTGGTCAGTGGGTTGGTCAGTGCTGACTGTGGAGTCAACACAAAACAAATGTTGTTCCTTTATTTTAACCCCAGCCTTAAAAAAAATGTCCTTAAAATTCCTGAGCACGTGCAGAAAACTGGTCCTCACACCCTTATGAACAAGAACAGACACACACACTCATATACACACACACAGGAGATAAGGGTAAATGGACATCATTTGATTATTTATTTTTTCTTCTTATCGACACTTGTTTACTGTTTATTTCTGTGAGTGACTTTAAAACAATGTTGGAAGATTAGCTGCTCCACACACACACACACACACACACACACACACCGTGTCTTCTTCTTTAAGCTCTGTGCACGTGTGTGTTGTGATGCTGTCACAGCCTCGTCAGGTTAACAGTAATTACAGCAGTAATAATAATTACTTCTGCTGCTGACGATGATGATTATGCTAATGCTAATGCTAATGCTACTACACCGGTGATCCTCTGGCTCTGATACAGTTCATTTTTTTTCCCCACTTCCTCTTAAATACTAACTGTCAGAGAGAGAGTGCAGACAGAGATAGTCTCTCTATCAGTTCCAGAACAGACTCGCTCTTTATCAGGAACTCCATTGGCAAAAAGGAAACTTTGACCGCTGTGAATTTTTTCTCTTATCGTCAAACATCCTCCTTCCTCCCCTACCCTCACTCTATCCATCCACCCTCTCCTCCTCTGGTCCCTCCATCACCGCTAACTGCCCTCCTTCTCCACCTCCTCCTTCCCGTACTCCCAAAACTACTACAGTAATACTCTCTGAGGACAGTATTGTGAAAAGCACAGAGTAAAAATAATTTGAAAAAATAAAATGAGCAAAGATGCAATATATGCAAATGTATGCATGTAAATATATAGACCCTACGTATATGCATATATTTATGTATACTCTACATATATGTATGTATGTATTTAAATATATGTATATAAATATATATACCCTATATGCTGTATATATACAATATGCATATTCTTTATGTGTGTATATATATAAATATACTGTATATATATATACATTTATAGACCCTACATATATACATATACGCATGTTCTTTGTGTATATATCTAAATATATGTATATAAATATATAGACCTTGCATATATGCATATACATATATGTACTGTATGTGAACCATATATTTCTTTAGCTATTTTTATTTTTTTACATTTTCTTCTTACTTTGAACGGTGTTAAAAAAAAACTCCTGATGTTAAAAATCTTAAAAATCCTCAAAGCAGCAAATTTTAAATTCACATGAATCCAATAATGATTTTCATTATTGGATTTCCAAACCGTTATTTGTTTCACTGATTTTATTATTTTTTTTAAACCATTTAATTATAAAGAAACAAATTCCTGGTCCTGGTCCAGTGGTTCTGATGACAGTGTCCTGGTCTTTGTGTTGGTGGCAGCTCGTCTCTATCTGGATGTAGAAGATTCTCTAAAGCCGTCTTTTTTTAATCTTCACCCTGTCCATGACTGCTGCTGCTGCTGCTGCTGCTGCTGCTGCTGCTGCTGCTGCTGAGTGATATGCAAAATAAATGATGAGGATGGAAGAAGGGAAAAAAAAGGATCTTATTCTGAATGACCTTGTGAGCTGGAGGGTTCATCCTCCCTCCCTCCCTCTCCTCCCTCTCCTCCCTCCCTCGCTGCTTTAAATTTCTTGATATGCAAATGAGGAGTCGCCGTTAATCCCAGCTGTCACTCTGCAGCTGGCCCTCGACTCCCGTCTGTTTCCTCACTCAGGGCCAGGATGAGGTCGGTGTCTCCAGTTCATCACTGGGTCTTTCACAGATCAGTAGTCAGTAAGTGAGCAGTCATTCTCAACGTGAGGGGCGAGTCCCAGCAGGGGGCGTAGTGCTGGTACCGGGAGAGTTAGCGGAGCAAATACATATTTGAATGTTTGTGTTTGGTCGCAGTGGGGCTGTGTTTGGGCAGGAAAGACTTCACTGTTTGAAATCTGTGCTTCAGATTTACCTCAGTGACACTGACTGACCACAGGAGGCAGTAGAGGACCAGATGCCGTGAGCTAAAATCTCTGATTTTCTGCATGTGTTCCAGCACATTTGTACCAGTTGTCATTTTAAGGAGTCAGGGGTCAAAGTCAGTGTTCAGAGAAGAGAAGAAGTGAAGGAGGACGACGAAGGAGGAAGGAGGGAGGAGGAAGGAGGAGCAGAATATTGAGTTGTGAGCGGTGAGATAACTAATGAAAGGTGAGAGAGGGCGTCAGTGTTTCAGGATCAATGAGGAGCAGAGAGGAGTGCTGAGAGATTTTCACAGGAGTTCTTCAGATAGTGAAATTAGAGGTGAGGAACAGTGGGTGAGGTTAAGAGACGGGGAGATGTGGGAGATAGAGGCACCGCTGGTTAATCTTGCTGCTCAGAGAACATCACAGGTGGTTCAACTCTTCTGTAAATGAAATGTTCTCCGCTTGGTTCTTCACAGTTTGGTTTTGTTCAGAAAGAAACACACAAAGAATGTAGTTGCAGTTCCACCGAAGTGCCACCAGGGGGCATGTACGCCGTGTGCAAAATGAAGTAAATTACCTATAAAGTGTTTTATTGTAGTGAAGCCCAGAGACGAAGCATTGCTGGTCCACTGCTGCCTCTTGTGGTCACTTTAAGTCACTGCGGTAAAAATGAATCAACAGGCAGCAGTGGATCAACAAATCCTCTGCTGCCCCCTGTGGTCCAGGGCCACATTCAGAAAACCAAGAACAACTTCAACTTTAATATGAAGAACTATTAAATTGATTTAAATTTAAATATTGAAAAAAAAAAACTTTGCTGGATGTTTAAAAATGTATTAATATAATTTATAATATAATATTAAAGTAGATTATTGTACTGTTCAGTTGAGAGCATAAGATAAGAGCAGTGAAGGAACTCCGAACTCATTTGTCCTAAAGTTTTGTCCTTAGGTTAGAGCTCCCCCTCTCTGGTCATACCACGTCCTGGTCCTGGTCCTTGTCTTATCTCCTGGTGTCTCCTCCTCACTATCTCCCTCTCACCAGTTTCCTTCCTTCATTAGACAACAATCACTTGTTTGCGTTGCACTTTCTGTCCCTGTAGCAGCAGCAGTTTTTGTGGGAAAGACCTAGCGTTGACGTTTCCAAAATTGTTCCAGAGGCCTGACAGAGTTGATCAGTCACTGATGTCCAACGCCGTCTGGAGCTTTTGACGAGACGACTCGTCTGCGAGCACAGTCGGTCAAGTACAGCACATTTTAGGTGTTCGCAGAAAGTCAGCAGTTAACGGCTCATTTTAAAGTGATTGTTAGGGTCAGGGTTTTCATCTGAAAACTGAGAAGCACTGTCCCACACCAAGGTCCTTAGAACAAATCTGAAGTTTTACCTCTCAGAGAAACGGGAGCTGTCGGTCCACTGCTGCCTCCTGTGGTCATTTTTTGTCATTAACATTGGTCTGAACACATGGTTTGTTGTGATAATCACTGTAGACCATGGACTTTGGTCTGAGCTAAAATCACTGATTTTCTCCATGGACTCTGGTGTGGATACGTTAGACACACACACACACACACACACACACACACACGTCCCTCTTCTGTCACAAATTGAAAGTGAAGACCTTCCAGAAACTCTCCCTGATAATCCCACATAAATTAATTAGAAAATATTCCTTGACATTCTCACACACACACACACACACACACACACACAGACAGATGATGACGATGACGGAGGAGAGACGGCGAAAGAGACTGAGGCGAAGCCACAGAAATTAATTGTACTGTATGTGACTCCTATAATTAATTCAATCATTAATTTGTCTCTGATTTATCAAGTCCTTCTGGCTGCTGATGATACAGGACGTTTCACTCAGAGCAGCAGCAGCAGCAGCAGCAGCAGCGGTGGCAGAGGCAGGAACTGCACTGGTGCTGAAAAACAGTTCCACACAGTCAGGGTCTGAAATAAAGGCTGTCCTCCGTCAGAACAGCCCAGTCAGGGTGGCTGTGAGCCCGGTGGACGGCGGCGGGCCCCGGGGGACGGCGGGGGGGGGGGGGGGGGGGGGGGGGC